AGTTTGAAAAATTCATGCATAAAGCATGCTTCAAGCGGCATTTACGTTTTTGTAGTGTGTGCTGCAACAGTATAGATTTTACTTTCTAGATATACACTTTTAGGTCAACAAGACTGTCTAAAGAATAAAACTTACAGAGATCTCTGGGATTTCATAGGCATACATTTTCATTATTCCCCAGCACCTTGGGCACCTCCAAACATACTTGCCCTCCTTTAGTCAGAAAATCATAATGCTTTCTTAATGCACATGCCTATCTATGCCAGTACCAGCCAGATAGCTCCTGTACTGATTTCTATATTAAAGCCAGGTAGGATTTAACTATTTATGACACAGAAGTCTTGATTCCACTACAGAATAATTCAGAACGGTTTATCAAGTAGGTTTATTTCATTCCTGCAGTTGAGAGGTCACATTACAAAACAAAAAGTACATCTATTTCAGAATTATCTGGACCTACACAGGTGAATTTTAGATTATAATTTGATTATCTTATGTTTTCCAAACACCTCTCAGAGCAAAATGCAGGTGGTCTATCTGAATTAATCTGCCCTGGGGGAAATACCATATAACCTTTCTTCCAAAAAACAACAAAACCAAACAACAAAACCCTACAAGCACTAGTTGGCTCCAAATTCCTTTCAACTTTCCTCAAAGGATAGTGTTGTCCAGGTTACCCTGGAAATCAGCTGTGGCTTTTTCTCAGGACTGATTTGAAAGTGTACATAGCATAGAAAATGTATTCTGCAGACAATTACAAGTTTATGGAAAACTTGTGCAAGTAATGTGGAGAGACAGAGAAAGATGAAAAAGATGAAGCAATAATTTACTACTAATTACAAGAAATAACCAGCCGTTATAGTGATATGTTTGGCAATACTCTACAAAGAAGCAAGTACTCTATCCTCCGACAACAAACTGTACCTAAATAATAAATGCAAGAAGTTTTGAGGTCATAAAGAAGGCATGAAGAATGAACAGATCATATTGCAAGTATAGAATAAATTTTAGAGAAAGTGTCAAATATTTTTGTGATTTTCCCACATAATCAGGGATCTTTCTATTGCCAAAATGTTTTACCCTGTCTTTGAAAAAGGAAAATAAAAACATATTTTAATTATTTTTTTCCCCTACAGAAAAGCTTATACATACTCATTTAATGGTTGTTAAAATAACACACATTTTCTCCTGTTTGTTAGCTGAAGCATCAAATGACTAACACAACCATCCATTCTGATGAGTCACTCACTGCACAATGTGTGAGCTGGCACATATGAAAACTCTCCCGGATCTAAAATTACAATTTGCATTCTCAGGGGCAAGTGTTTTGCAGCTAATTAGTAACGTGGGTACTGAAAAAACCCCCCACCAAAGTCCTTATAGCTCAAACTCTATTCACTCACACCTTTGAAACACTTTCCAATCAGCCAAAAGTATCTGGCACACATTTGCAGCCTGTATGCACAAGAAGGATTCAAAGCAATCTCTGACTGAAATCCCACAGCTAAGTATCTGAGTTCATTTGTTGCAAGCTCTCTGAAAAAGGGGCAATGACTAATAGCAAAGCTGTGCCCGTGTGTCACTGCATGATGCAAAGAGACAAAAATACTCAAGCATTTCTAAGATTCAGAGCTGGGCAACAAAGGTTTTGGTACTAGGTTCTGTACCTAGCTCTAGCTCAGGAATCAACCACTTCAACCACTTTTGGAATTTACTGCAGTATTGATATATTTATACATGTATATATATATATCCTTCCCTTTTATGGTAACAGTATTGTGGACTGGGAGCAGAACTCTCAGGGGGGATCCTCTGTGTTCTCTGACTCACTCTTCTTCACTGACTTTCCCATGCAGTCAGAACTGAGGTTTATCCCTCCTTTTTTTCTCCCTCCTTTTCTTTCCTTCTCAATTTGCTTCACAGCTAGTGAAAAGAAAGCAGAAAAATTCAGTGAGGATGCAGCTTTTGAAGAGGAAAGCAAGTTGGAGTAGGATTTGCCTGTTATTAAACTATCCGGAGGACCTAAATATTCCTAAACTCAAAAGGCATTGCAGTTGTAGGGAAAAAACAAGAAAAAAAGGTGCAGCTTTCACATCAAGCTATGAAAGCAACTGTTGAGGTTTCCTTTTCAATCTTGTCACCTGGAAGAGAAAATTATTCCCTTTATTTTGCCGAACAGACAGGAGGCAAACAGCACATGCTATTGCTGACTGAATTTCAAAATTGACAAATCCTGGAGGAGGAAGCTACTATTATAAAGCCAAGCACGACTGCTAATGCTACCTTGACTTCCTCAGCTTATGCCTGCTCTGCTGCTCAACGGTCCCTAAGGCCCAAATGACATTACTCCGGATTCTAAGACAAGCCAAGAAAGGGAATGATAATTTTGACATAAAAAAAAAAAAAGAAAAAGAAAAAGGAAAAAGAGGCTGATATAGAAGACCAGCCACCATTACAGTTTTTGTGCTGTGATAAGCAGAGGAAGGGGACTGTGTTAAAACTCAGAATGCTTCTTGAAAATAGCAACAGTACTATTCATGACACTTAAATGAAGGAAGAAAGATTTGACAGAGTGTTAAGGTCAGGGCTGAAAAAATCCAGAAGTTAAATATAACGGTGGTCCCTGATATTTTTCCCTTTTAAATTTGTGATTAAAATAGTTATGATTATGGTTGAAACAAGTTGTCTTGCTCTCTGCATAGAAATAAAACAAAAATGATGCCATTAATTGTAAAGGGTGCTTTGTGGGCTTGTTCTCCCTCTCTTTCTCTGTGCACATATATACACATCCATATCCATCCACACATATATGAGGGCATGGGCATGGGGTGTAAAGTAAAGCAAAAGAATCTATTGATTACAGCAGTGACCATTTTAGAATGGAAAGATTGCTTTAAGAAATCTGAACATCCCAAGAAAAAGAATTGGTATGTCATAATTCATGACTTAATTGTTTATCTTCCATTGTCATGGAGTGGTTTGATTTGGGGAAGAGCAAACACTTCCCCAAAGTTTAAGAGTAAGCCTGTACAAGCATCTTAAATTTCTTATGTTCTACATGGGTTGGCTTCAGATTAAAAATGCAAGTTGGCCTTCTAACTGCAACTTGTGATACATCACTGTGAAATAGAAGCATGAAAAGCACAGCCATGCAAGTTAAGATTGGCATGTTTAGACTTCCTCTTGCTCTCGAGGGTTTGAATAACAGACCTGAAGCATTAATATTCTGTCTGCGAATGTGCAAAGCTTAGTTTTTTTTGCTGAATTCACAAAATTAACCCGATAACTTTAAAGCAGACTCCAAAGCTGAAAGATTTCATATAGCTTCAAGTCCTTGTAGCTCTGTCAGTTTTCACTGGTAGAGGGAGTAATGCTCAGTTCACAGAAACTCAACTTGAGCTGGGTTTTTTTAATTTGCAAATTCAAAAGAGAAGCTAGAGCTTTAAAAAATGTATTATTCAAACTCTACAAATACAGCACTTGGAACAGAAATGTTAAAGTTGGCACAGAATCAAACTATTAGAGCAAAACAAAGCAAAAATCATCTGCCATTTCAAAGAAGGAGTTGAGCCTAGGTGCAAAGTATCTACTTCAGGCCTACTGCCATCTCACTATTAATGCTGAGGTGTGTATCTCATATGCTTTGGCATAAGAGAAATATATTTCCTAAGTCTTATGAGACATATGTAACAAAGAGGACACCAAAGTGAAATCATATATTAACTGTATAATGGAGAAAGGACCCATGGTACAGGCTGTAGCTAGGGAATGCAGCTTTCATCGGTTTGTGTCTTTCCAGTGCAGAGCTCTCCAAACATCACCAAGCCGACTAAAGTGGATTTGTATTTCAGCTTCCAAATTTAAGAGAACTTAGTAAGCACACAGTAATTTTATTGTTTAAAGGAATGGCTCACATGCCTGTACCTTTTACACACGATTTAACTGAGGTACATTTATTTATTCTCTTTCCTAGGTTTACCATAACAAAATAGAGAACTATTTAATAACTAGAATGTCATTTTTAGACTGTCTTTAACTTGAGTTCTTTACTCAGTGAAAATTTTTCCTGGGTAAAATTGAACACTGATTATTGTCTATTAGGGTAAATGAAGAAATTATGAAAAACATCCAAAAAAACCCCTCTGCCTTTAAAATAGTGCAAAAGCACTAGGACCTCATTTTTATGCAGATATTTCTGGCTTGTAAAAAGGAAAAAGAAAGAAATGGATCTGTGACATGAAAATTGGTTGCTGTAAGTGAAGGGTGAGAAAGCTATTTTTAGTTCTTAGTTATCTCCAATCTCTACGTTTTACATACTAGAACCTCATTTGGTAACAGAAAATGTATTTTTTGACTTTTTTGTTTGCTTTTCCTGTTTGGGTTGCAGCTGTACAGATGGGTAACTCTGGGTCTTCCTGGACTTTCTCTTTTTAGGTGTGCTTTGAAACAGGGAGCCAGAGGGATTTTATGCTTTCTAGATTTGGGTAGCTTTAAGAGGAAACTGGCTGCTTTCCAGTGTCAGCCCGGCTCAGTATTACTACTACCAAATAGAAATTTGTTGAATTCTAGAAATTGAAAGTATTAATAAGACAGCAGTTTGAATCTTGGAGGGTTGAACACATGTAAGGATGAAGAAGGAGAAAGTATACTGGAGTCCTTTCTACCGTCCTTCTTTTGCTTGACTGAGGGGTCAATTTTGGAACAGGAAAAAAGGGACTGAAAGGTGAGAATGCAGAATATTTTGCCTGGAAAACAGAATATGCAATTTTTATGCAATTTTTTTCTGTGATTAGCATATATGGAGTTGCAGCTGTTATTCCTATTACCAATTTATTCACCTAGAAGTTAGGATGGAAAATACTGCGTATCACTGTTTACCATAGTTCTCTAGTTCTCTGTTCATATTTCATATAAATTACTTTTGGGTTTTTTCAATTGATATTCATTTTGGCCGTAATAATGTGTAACTATATTAAAAAGCAAAACCAGACTCACAAAGGCAAATAAGAAGGCTCTCTTGATCATCATAATTAAACGAGTTAATTTCTTCCAGAATTCACTCAGACTGTCTCTGACATTCACTAATACCTGATTGCCATCTTTCTTTACTGAAAAAAAAAAAAGCCCAATATTTCCTGTGAAGTAAACTTAGTCATTCCCACTAGGAAAATTATTGCTTAGCTACACTCAAAGGAAATCATCTTTCCAACAGCTAGCCCCACAATCTACAGAAGCGTATTAGTCCTCATAAAAAGTCATTAACATTTATAGATAAACTCTAAAGAGAGAAACCAACATGCACATATAGAACAAGAAAAAGAATGAATCCTTGTATCCTTACATAAAAATCCTTTTCATGCCAATTGGAGTTTGCAGAAGAGAAGAAGAATATCCAACAAATGAGTGTCACAGACTAAACAGTTCAGAAAAGTACATGACTTCAGGAGGACTGAGAGATTAATTTCTTCCTTGGGTTATAATCAATTCTGTAAAACAGGAGGCATTATTTATTGCCAGATTCTCAAAGATATATACGCACCAATTCCCAAATCAATATGCATGCTTCTAAATCAAAGGCAAGCAGGCTCCACTGAACCAGGTACCACCTTGACTCCAGAGGCTGCCTTCCCAGTTGGCCAGGCTGTGGCTGACCGCAGCCACTGCCCTCAGCCCACCATGGCTCTCCTTGCCTGTGGCTTTGGAACAAGTCTGATCAGGCAGGGAAGGCACTGCCCTATCCCATGGCCCTCGAGATCTCACCAGGTCACCCCCAGACAGGTTGCTCCCTGGAAGGTGCGTCTGAAGGAGACCAGAGCTCTCCTTCTCACACAGGTCCAGACCTGAACAAAAGCCAATACTTAAACTATACTGAACAGGATTTGCCGTTATCTGTGCTGACAGTCAGCTGTGGTCAGGGCCACAGTTCACAACACAACATAGCTAACAACATTTTGATTTGGAAGGAAGCCTGGCAGAGCTAAGACCAATGTAATAGCAGTCAGTAGCACTAAGCATGGCAGAGAGGTCTATCTGAAGAATCATGCATATGATTGACTCCCTTGTCTAAGGACAGAAGAAAGTAGTTCAGCAAAACAACAAGTTTTGCTTCAGTATTGTGCTCTAGACTGTGAGGGCCGTAGGATACCAGCAAATGATGGCCAGTCCTGGTGGCTGCCTCAATAGCTTCTAACCATAAAATACAATAAGCAAACTAAGGCAGCAGTGAGGAAAAAAACCCCACACTGAGGCACTTGCCTTCCCAAGGAATGAATTGAAAATAAAGAAAGGAAAGAGTTATATTCCGGTTTATATTTTCAGTCAAGTGTTTTCTTTGTTTATCATGAATAAACCCTTTCTTGCTAGATTTGAGTGCTCAGGGAAGCACAGACATACAATGTAGGAAACTGAAGTCTTTTATACACGCACCCTGGGATACAAAATTATTGGTGGGTGGGTGAAAGGCTGCAACACTAGCCCATTAAGGAGAAGATTATAAATCCAAAATCAAAGAGAATCTTTCATGGTCCTGTATGTGTTTCATATTACTTTTCCATAGTTATTAGTGCTTTAAAAAGATGAGAGCAAGTTTAATACCATTTTTTTTCCGGCATATGGCTACCAGCAGAGCAGTTATTTTTAAATTAACCCTAATGTCTGTGCCAGCTTTTTTCAGTGCTGACATGCTACGATACCTATGCTATGTCACTACTGGGGCTGTAAAAGAACTGTTGTGGTTTAAGCCCAGCTGGTAATTCAGAACCATGCAGCCGCTTGCTCCCTGCCTTCTTTACCTCCGACTCCTGGAGGAATGGAGAGGAGAATGGAAAGAATGTACCTTCCATGGGTTGAGATAAGAACAGTCCAGTAACTAAGGTACAACAGAAACCACTACTGCTACTGCCCATAATAATAATGATAAGGGGAAAAACAAGGGGAGAGAATACAATTGCTCACCACCCACCAACCGATACCCAGCCTGACCCTATCAGCGATCTGCACCTTCTGGGTAACTCCCCCCAGATTCTGTCCTGGGCATGATGTTCTGTTGCATGGAACACCCCTTCAGCTAGTTTGGGTCAGGTGTCCTGTCTCTGCTTCCCATGCCCCTCTTCACCAGCAGAGCATGAGACTGAAAAGTCCTTGATTGGGGTAAACATTACTGAGCAACAACTAAAAACATTGGTGTGCTATCAGCACTGTTCTCACGCTAAAGTCAAAAGCACAGCACTGCACCAGGTACTAAGAAGGAGTAAAATGACTGCTACTGTTGAACCCAGGACAGGTGGTGACACTGTCAGCTACACCCAATTAATGTCTAATTCTGGACCTGGAGGGGGCTGCGCTATGGATAAGTATGCATAGGGAATGGAGTGATGCCAACAAAATTCACTTTACCTGGAACATAAACAAATTGAAACCCAGCACTTTAAGTAATCTTCAGAGAATTGATTCCTTCCTGGTACAATTTAGATGCTACATAACAAATTGTATTATTTTGTGGTTCAAGGCAGCTTCAAACTCTATGTTTTAGTTATATAACATATTTGAACTCTGCTATGTGTGGGATTAAATTTACTTGAAGCCTGTGGCTAATGTAAACCATCACCTTTTAGAAATGACAAGTGACATCCTAATCTATAGACAGTTAATCACCAATTTGCAAAATACAAATTGCCCTTCTCAAGTTGCCTTTATTTATTTTTTTTTCTCCTTTTCTGCTCAGCATATCAATGCTTACTGTAATAATTCATTTCTACTGTAAAGGAGCACTAGGTATTGCTTTAGGTGAACAACTCAATTCACCTAGGCTCTGACTTAGAGTAGGCCATCCATGACAATACTAATAAATTATGCATGAAATCGATTTAATCTACCTTTGAGACATAATTTGTCCTGCAAAAAGTTGTGTGTGCAGTTCACTCATGTTTTTATTTCATTTGCTATTCTGTGGCCTGCTTTGCTGTATATTTATTACAATCATTTCAGTTTCCTAATCAGAAAAAAACTCTACCGCATTTTCTTCTGAGATTGTTTTTCTGTTCACTTTGATTTTTACTGAGGACAACACAAATACCTTAACTGAGATGTCCTTTATGATCCTTTCCACCTCAGCAACTCTCAGCCCTGACTCTACTTACAATATTGCTCCATTCATAGAATGTACCCAGTAGGGCACTCTGTTAATCTCAAATAAAATTCATCATTGTCAACAAGATCCCTATCGACTTCAGTTGCCACTAGTTCTGGACTTCTCTGCCTTTGTAAATTTGGTAAATAACTAAGTCCTCACCTAAATAACATGAGATTCTACATTATCATGTGGAGAGAAGAACATTGCATTTTCAGGATTCATATGTTCCAGTAACACGCACTGATAAAATACGAAACTTGTGTTTCCCTTCTTGACAATGGTTCTCGTGCTCCAACACAAACCAAATGCATTCTGCCCCTGTAATAATTCACATATTTAATTCTTAGATATGCAAATCATATTTAAGAATTATCAAAATCCACATTCATCACATGAATGTTACAAATTTTGCTCACATCAAAAAAAACAGTCTGCACACCAAAATCAAAACAACATCATGACACTGAACAAAAGTGGAGAATTTACACAGAATCCACCCCTTGTGCCTTCATCACAATTATAACCATGTAAAATCCCCACAATCACACAATCATCCAGCTCTTTGTTCTTTAGCTGTATGCAGTCTATGGTTTGCCTGTTACCTCTCCCAGTTACTATTCTTATCTTGAATTCCTCATGCCCCATGTTAGGTGCAAGGACTGTGGTAGGTTGACCTTGGCTGGATGCAAAGTGCCTACCAAGCTGCTTTATCACTCCCCTCCTCATCAGGACAGAGTAGGAGAAAATAAGATGGGGAAAATACCTCATGGCTCAAGGAAAAAGCAGTTGAATAAAGCAAAAGCAAAGGCCATGTGCAGAAAGAGTAAAGGGAAACTGAATATTTATTCTATACTTCACAGGCAATTTCCAGCCACTTCCTAAGAAATGAGGCTTCAGTACATGTAGCAGTTGCTCCAGAAGACAAACGTCATAATAATAAATTCCAATCAACCCCCCTTCTTTTCCCTGAGCTTTTACTGCTGAGCATGTCATGTTATGGAATATTTCTTTGGTCAGTTGGGAATCAGCTGTCGTTGCTAGGTCTCCTCCCAAGGTCTTTCCCACCTCCAGCCTGCTGGTAAAGGACAAATGTTGGAGAGACAGCCTTGATGCTGTATGAGCACTGCTCAGCAGCAGCCAAACCACTGGTGTGTTATCTACACTTTTCTAGGTACCAATGCAAAGTACAGCACTATGAGGACTGCTGTAGCAAACTTATCTCTATCTCATCCAGACCCAATGCAACAAATGTGCTTTTCCCTCTGAAATATCTGGTTGACATGGTTGGCTTCAGTGTTTTCAGTGTGAGGCAGGAAGCTTCACTAAGCTTTCATAAAGCTGCTAGCAGAGCTGAGTTAGAAAATTCAGCTTGCTTACTTGTTTTGGCACCTGTCTGCAGCTGAAACTTGGAACATGATAAATCCCTGAATCACTAACAGAGAAAAAAAAAAAGAAAGAAAACTAAAAAAATAGAAGGGGAAAGTGAGGAGATAGAGTGACTCCTAGAGCAAGGGACTTCAGAAGGCATGTATTAAATACTATCTGATCTATATTTGCAAATGATTCTCATAAGTTCATCCATGTGGCAAATTCTGATGTACTGACTTTAAAGTTCCCCATGAATGCATTTTTTAATCTAAAGTGAAATCTCACATAGAAAAAGCTCTTTTATTTAGACTGTGAGAAAGTTTCTCTTTGTTCTAAAATCAAACTCTTAGCCTTTCCTTATTCTCTTTACCTCCCAATCTCAAGAAATACTAATTTCTAAAAGGCAGCTCAGGAGCCTCTAGGAAGCTTTCTGGCTATGTTTCGACAATGTGACAGTGTTCAGATGTTGCAATGGCCTGCACTGTATTTCAATAAATGAATATGTTACTGTACATGAAAGGGAGGGTTCTTATTCATTCCGTAATGTCGCCATTTTCTGCTGACATAAGGAAATACATCTTACAGTAGTTGTCTATTTTTTTCTAGCTT